TCAAATCCCCCCAACCAGCCCCCCCCCCCGTGGTTGTAGGAAAGAAAATTACATTATCTATGACTGACTGGTTTAACACTAATCTTGCAAAAACTTGTATACCTTTCTTGAATATTTGGTTTTTATCCATGCTGTATGGTAATGCAATGCTAGTACAGGGATGCACCCCAGAGAAAAAAAATTATAAGTAAGTGATATCTGTGTGAGGTTTGTATGTTCTCCCTGTGATCATATGAGTTTCTTCAAGGTGCCTCCTGCAATAAATCTGTTGCAAGAGGTCTGTCTGTTGTTGATCACTCAGCCTTGTGCCAAACATTTTTCCTGTGTGATATCTTCACACAGACACTTTTCTGGATATGAGTTCATCAAAGTGTGAAAATTTAGAAAAGTTCAAGTAACATTTTTCTCTGAATTATGCTTATACACACACACATAGGACATTTGATATGTACATGTTTAGTCGGTGAACCAATAAGTAGTGAAAAAAGCATAAGGATGACAGCTCTGGTGCAAGCAAAAACAAGTCTGACATTTTAATGACTTTTAGCGTGCTGGAAAGAAGTGTGCCGCAGGTCTCCTGTGGGGTAACCGACTCTAATACCATGTTTGGCATTACAATAAATTTGTGATAGTTGCAGCATTCACCATCCACACTATATTCAGCTAGCCCTAAATACGCTGTTAGCAATATCAAAGCAAGTCCTTGAGGGAAACTTCCCTAGAGAAGCAGTTAAAACTATTGCTTACCCAGGATCCAGCTTAGTTGGTGGTGTATCCTATGCATAAATGAAATCCTGAAGTCCTCCATACCAGAGAAAAGAAACACGATAGGGGACATCAAAGGATATGTCAATGGATACATCTGAAGTTACAATTAGGTTATTTTATTAACAGTGCCTTTGATTATTATTTTTGTTAACAAGCTGGTGGCACTCTCTCCCGAGCTTTGAGGATGATGGACAACCAGGTACCCATGTGAAAATCAGCATGCATGCTTGGCTGTTGGGCAAGAAAAACTGGGTGATGCAGTGGGCGAAGTTCTTTTTTTTTCTATATTTAATTTTTTTTAAACATTTTTTAAGAAAATACCCCTATAAGTGCTGAATATAGAAATCAAGTTTCAGCACTAGCTACAGTACACTACACATTATAAAATGTAGTGATTCACTATCTCATCCTGTCAAATGTTCTAAAAAAAATTAGGTCAATGAACAGTGAATGTGATATTCACCCCTTTATAAATTGGGCAGACATTGGCAAATATTTTTTACCCAGCCTATTTGCAATAAAATAGAGATGAGAGAAGGTTTTATGAACATGCTAGTTAAAAGTTAAAAGAGTGTCACAAATGTAGTTATGATGGATACGGAGCAACTGAATCTTTGTCTTTGACCATCTGATCCAACCGTATACAGTACAGTTTATCACACGTAGAGTTTGGGGTTTGATGTTGGGGATAAAAGCGCACTTGATCTTTTAGTATATATAATAATTTAAAAAAGTCAAATGGAGCAGCAATAATTGGTCAGTATTCATAAAGGAGACAGAACAAGAATTTTCAGAATGAAAACATGTTCATAAGGACTGAAAAGCCACTAGAAAAGGATTGAAAAGCCCAATCTTTTCAACATTTAATACATTTGATAACTACTAGAACTAGTTTTCTAGAAGTAGAAAACCTCTTTAGGTCTCTGTGTGTTTTGGGTCCTTGAGTAAAATAGATGTCCAAAAAATGGCAAAACTTACAAGGTATGGGGGCCGCAAATGCAGCTCCTGGCATCACCAAAGGGCAGCTGTCATGATCAGGGATCAGGCTCAAAGACCAGTAGCTAGAGCAGTAGAGAGATCAGCAGATCACCCTGAAGGATGACGGGGGTTCACCCAAGGTGCGGAATCTAAGTACTAACCAGTGTTTTGGCATAGCAAGTCACATGGGATGTTTCAGGATGAAAAAAAAATGTACAGGTGAAACTCAAAAAATTAGAATATCGTGCAAAAGTTCATTTATTTCAGTAATGCAACTTAAAAGGTGAAACTAATATATGAGGTAGACTCATTACATGCAAAGTAAGATAGTTCAAGCCGTGATTTGTCATAATTGTGATGATTATGGCTTACAGCTCATGAAAACCCCAAATTCACAATCTCAGAAAATTAGAACATTGTGAAAAGGTGCAATATTCTAGGCTCAAAGTGTCCCACTCTAATCAGCTAATTAAGCCATAACACCTGCAAAGGGTTCCTGAGCCTTTATATGGTCTCTCAGTCTGGTTCAGTAGGAATCACAATCATGGGAAAGACTGCTGACCTGACAGTTGTGCAGAAAACCATCATTGACACCCTCCATAAGGGGGGAAAGCCTCAAAAGGTAATTGCAAAAGAAGTTGGATGTTCCCAAAGTGCTGTATCAAAGCACATTAATAGAAAGTTATGTGGAAGGGAAAAGCGTGGAAGAAAAAGGTGCACAAGAAGCAGGGATGACCGCAGCCTGGAGAGGATTGTCAGGAAAAGGCCATTCAAAGGTGTTGGGGGCTTTCACAAGGAGTGGACTGAGGCTGGAGTCAGTGCATCAAGAGCCACCACACACAGACAGATCCTGGACATGGGCTTCAAATGTCGTATTCCTTTTGTCAAGCCGCTCCTGAACAACAAACAACGTCACAAGCGTCTTACCTGGGCTAAAGAAAAACAGACCTGGTCTGTTGCTCAGTGGTCCAAAGTCCTCTTTTCTGATGAAAGCAACTTTTGCATGTCATTTGGAAACCAAGGACCCAGAGTATGGAAGAAGAATGGAGAGGCACACACTGCAAGATGCTTGAAGTCCAATGTGAAGTTTCCACAGTCTGTGTTGATTTGGGGAGTCATGTCATCTGCTGGTGTTGGTCCACTGTGCTTCATTAAGTCCAGGGTCAACACAGCCGTCTACCAGGAGATTTTGGAGCACTTCATGCTTCCTTCCGCAGACGAGCTTTATGGGGATGCAGACTTCATTTTCCAGCAGGACTTGGCACCTGTCCACACTGCCAAAAGCACCAAAACCTGGTTCAATGGCTGTGGGATTACTGTGCTTGATTGGCCAGCAAACTCGCCTGACCTGAACCCCATAGAGAATCTATGGGGCATTGCCAAGAAAAAGATAAGAGACATGAGACTGAACAATGCAGAAGGCTGAAGGCCGCTATTGAAGCATCCTGGTCTTCCATAACACCTCAGCAGTGCCACAGGCTGATAGCTTCCATGCCATGCCGCATTGAGGCAGTAATTGCTGCAAAAGGGGCCCAAACCAAGTACTGACTACATATGCATGCTTATACTTTTCAGAGGTCCGATATTGTTCTATGTACAATCCTTGTTTTGTTGATTGCCTGTAATATTCTAATTTTCTGAGATTGTGGATTTGGGGTTTTCATGAGCTGTAAGCCATAATCATCACAATTATGACAAATCATGGCTTGAACTATCTTGCTTTGCAAACTGCTGTAATTCCTACACCGTTCACCTGATTTGGATGTAAATACCCTCAAATTAAAGCTGACAGTCTGCAGTTAAAGCACATCTTGTTTGTTTCATTTCAAATCCATTGTGGTGGTGTATAGAGCCAAAAATGTTAGAATTGTGTCAATGTCCCAATATTTATGGACCTGACTGTATATACAGTACTTTATTAAACTGCATTCTGTATGTATTGCAGCATATCCTCACCTTAAGCAGGAACATAACACAACTGTTACTAGTACTCTGGGCTTTTTTTCTCAGACAATAGGTGCAGGAACTCCCCCCTTCTGAGTCACCCCCTTGTCTCTGCCCCCAACCCACCTCTTAGCACCATCCCTTTTAGAGAATTCAGAACCAAGTAACATTTTGTAGTGCTAAGTAATGAGTATGGAATTTGTTCATGATAAGAAAATAAAAGCAGTAAAATAGATCCCCTGCAGCGAAACAATGATAGACCCCCACCAGCATCAATAACCCCCCCTCCCAGCAACAATAAACCCCCCTACATAATATCAGACCCCCCCAGCAACAATGGACACCCTTGCAACAAAATACCACCCAAGCAACAATAGACCCCAGCAGCCACAACAGATCGCCAAGCAGCTAGAATCAATAGACCCTCCAAGAGCCAGCATCAATAGTAGTCTCCCTCAAAAGTAGATCCCCCCAGCAACAACAGATCCCCTACCAGCAACATATAGACCCAAATGCCAAAAAATCAATAGATCCTCCAGCATACCCTAGCACATTCTTGCCTTTACATACATTCAGTGCTGGAGGTGCCAGAACTGCGTTCCCCCACATTCCCATTGAAAAAAAGCCTTCCTAGTACTAGTATGGAGCCCATTACAGGCAGACTATTTATTCCTCTGACTTACAGTCAGGACTGGAGGGTTTATATGCGCTATACTATTCAAAAATGTGCCTGAAGACATGGCTTACACATAAAACTATTATTTTAGATTTCCTTATGCATTCAGCATGTTTTTAACCAATCAGTTCCATCATGAAGTTATGTTTTAAAATTAAATGTGTATCTACGGTAAAAATGTAAAAACATACTGTGTATTCACTTCCACGCTAAATTTACAATTATTTTTAGCCTTCTTTGATTAACCACTTCAGCTCCAGAAGGTTTTCCCCCCTTCCTGACCAGGACACTTTTTGCTACAGTATTCACTATTTCAACTGGTGACTGTATGGTCATGCAACGCTGTACCCAAACAATTTATTGCCTTTTTTCACACAGATAGAGCTTTCTTTTGGTGGTATTTTAAATTCTTGTGATATAAATGAAAAAAATACAAAAAATTTTGATAAAAAACAATATTTTCTATGTTTGGTTATAAAAATATCCAATAAACTCAAAATTAGTCATGAATTTAGGCCAAACTATGCTATGTACACTATATTGCCAAAAGTATTGGGACACCCCTTCAAATCATTGGATTCAGGTGTTCCAATTACCGCCATGGCCACAGATGTATAGAATCAAGCCCCTAGGCATGCAGACTGCTTCTACAAACATTTGTGAAAGAATGGGTCACTCGTAGGAGCTCAATGAATTCAGCGTGGTACCCATGATAGGTTGCCACCTGTGCAATAAGTCCATCCGTGAAATTTCCTTGCTACTAAATATTTCACGGTTAACGGTTAGTGGTGTTATAACAAAGTGGAAGCAACTGGGAGCAACAGCATTCAGCCACAAACTGGTAGGCCACATATAATAACAGAGCGAGGTCAGTGCATGCTGAAGCGCACAGTGCACAGAAGTCGCCAACTGTCTTCAGAATCAATAGCTAAACACCTCCAAAATTCATGTGGCCTTCATATTAGCACAACAATAGTGCATAGAAAGCTTCATGGAATGGGTTTCCATGGCCGAGAAGCTGCATCCAAGCCTTATATCACCAAGTGCAGTGCAAAGCATAGGATACAGTGGTGTAAAGTGTCTGCACTTGGCGGTTGCCATGAGAACAGTACTTGCCTGACTGCATTGTGCCAAGTGTAAAGTTTGGTGGAAGGGGGATTATAGTGTGGGGATGCGTTTTAGAGGCTGGGCTTGACTCCTTGGTTGTAGTGAAGGGAACTCTTAAGGTGTCAGCATACCAAGACATTTTGGACAATTTCATGCTCCCAACTTTATGGGAACAGTTTGGGGTTGGCTTTTTTCCTGTTCCAACATGAAGAAGCCAACTGCAGACCAGTGCACAAAGCAAGGTCCATAAAGCCATAGATGAGCGAGTTTGAGGTGGAGGAACTTGACTGGCCTAGACAGAGTCCTGACTTCAAGCTGATAGAACACCTTTGGGATGAATTAGAGAGGAGGCTGCAAGTCAGGCCTTCTCATTTGACATCAGTGCCTGACCCCACAAATGCTCTTCTGAAAGAATGGTCAAACATTCCCACAGACACACTCCTAAACCTTGTGGACAGCCTTCCCAAAAGAGTTGAAACTGTTATAGCTGCAAAGGGTGGGCCAACCAAATATTGAACCCTATGGACTAAGACTGGGATGCCATTAAAGTTCATGTGCATGTAAAGGCAGGAGCCACAATACTTTTCACAAAATAGTGTACAGTGTATATTGGAATTTACGCAGATTTTACTTTCTGTTTGCCTATCACATTTTCTTGAAGTGCTAAAATGCCAGGGCAGTACAAACACCCCCCAAATTACCCCTTTTTGGGAAGTAGACACCCCAAGGAATTTGAAAAGAGGCATCGTGAGTATTTTGCCAATATGATTTTTTGGCACAAGGTTTTGAAAAAGAAAAGAAAAAATACATTTTTGTTTTCTTTCATTTTCCAAAAACTTGGGGCAGCACATGAGATCTGCGAAATACTCACCATGCCCCTTACCAATACCTTGGAGTGTCTACTTTCTAAAAAGGAGTCATCTGGAGGGGGGGGGTGCTTCTACTATCCTACTATCATAGGGACAACATTAGAAGCTTGTGCCACACACCACCCACTCTTCTAACCACTTGAAAATCAAGCCTTTTTGTTTACATGAAAAAAACATTTTTTTTGCTAGAAAATGACTTTGAACCCCCAAATATTATATACCGTATTTTCCGGCGTATAAGACGACTGGGCGTATAAGACGACCCCCCTACTTTTCCTGTTAAAATATAGGGTTTGGGCTATATACTCGCCGTATAAGACTACCCCCCTCTTCCAACCAATCACGGCAAGCAATGTACCAGTATTTTCTGTGCACACTGTGCACACTGCATACAAAGCCTGCTTGGATTGGGTGGGTCAGCTCTCCCTGCCTGCCCAGCCCTGCCTGTCTCCAAGATACCATAAATTGCACAGAACTGCCACAGACATTATAATATTAATAATTAATTACCGTATCTCATAGAAGTTAAGGGGACAAGGTCGGATGCAGCAGTACCATACCGGTACTTCCGAGCTGACGCTTCTGCACGTCTTCGGCAGCAGTAGACGATCACTGATCGCCATTCCTCGCAGAACTGCATGAGACGTCGGATGCAGCCGTTCAGTGCTCGATTGATCGTGACTGAAACTGTGACATGCGCAGAATCACTGTGTATCCCTTCTCTGCATATCACAGTTTCAGTCAAGCTCAATCGAGCACTGCTGCATCCGACGTCTCATGCAGTTCTGCGAGCTATGGTGATCCGCGATCGTCTACTGCTGCCGAAGACATGCGCAGTAGCGTCAACCCGGAAGTACGGTAAGGTTTCAGCACAGCACCCGGCGTATAAGACGACCCCTGACTTTGTAGACGATTTCCAGGGGTTAAAATGTCGTCTTATACGCTGGGAAAATACGGTATATATATTTTAAAGAAGAGGCCCTAAAGAATAAAATGGTGGGTGTTGTAATTTTTGTATGTCACAAAGTATTTGCACAGCGATTTTTCAAACGCAAATTTTCTGGAAAACATATACTTTTTTTTTTTAATGCATAAAAACACAATATATTGCCCAATTGTTTGCTAACATATAAAAGATGGTGTTACACTGAGTAAACAGATACCAAACATGACCTGCTTTAAAATCACACATGCCCGCAACAGCAACAGACTACATACATTTTTTTTATACCAATAGGCAACGCTTTATAAGCCTTTACAGGTCACTACTTTAGATTTACACAGGAAAATCATTACCACAAGCACATTCTATTCTTTCCAAATTTGGCGCCATTTAATACTACAAGGTAAATTTTTCAAAATCTCTTATCTGAAACCTATGAATTTCCGCATTGACTAAAACAACCTTAGAAACCTCCTTTCCCTATACTTGGACTACTGGAGGACTGCCATATCTAGGTATCATCTTAACCCCCTCCACTGATACTTTAGTGGAATCTAATTTTCAGCCCCTTATTAAAAAGCTTAGCAACAAACTTACATGCACAGCCAAATTTGAGCTATCCTGGACAGGTAGACTAGCGGCTTTTAAAATGCTATACCTACCACAAAATTATTTATCTTTTCAGAACTCTCCCCATTCCACTCAAATCCTCATATCTGTCTTCCCTAGAATCCCTGTTAAACATCTATGGAACCAGAAATGGGCTAGATGCTCCTACGCCCAACTTATAAAACATAAAATCAGTGGGAGGCATAGGGCTAGTAGATATTAAAGACTACTACACAGCTGCTTTGTTGGCAGATTAAACATTGGTTTTACTCACCTTCAGAACACTTGTGGTTGGACATAGAGACAGCATCCATACCAACTCAAGACCTCCGACACCTATTACTAGCTGACTTACACTTAACTTAGTGAGCTCCAGGCGCCCGCCATGATCTGAGTGAAACCATCTCCCTGACTGCCTCAACTGCCCTGAATTGACCTGAGGGAGCCCCGGCGCACGAGGAGCAGGGGGCGGATGCGGTGCACTGGCAGCCGGACGGTCCCGGTGACAGCTGGTGGGGACAGAGGATCCTCCTGCAGCCAGTTCCATGGAGTGGCCAGAAGGGCTGTGGGCAGCGGCCGGAAGAACAGCAGGAGCCCTGGGAGCCCAGCGGTCTGGGAGCAGGAGGAGGTAGCCCTGGTGACAGAGGATCTCCCATATCCATATTGCAGGGACATCTTATAGGTCCGGGAGAGCAGGGAGGCTCTACGGATGAAGAATACTCTGAGCTCTTGAAGGACACCCCCCTGGGATGAGAAATTGAAATTAGGTGACCTAGAGACCCCCTGGACCACCAGTAATGCAAAGAGTCCCCCCACAGGTGTGTTCGGACGTCCAACGAGGAGCCCATGACGGGAGCCAAGAAGCAAACAGAGACTAATCAGCTCTGAAGGGTCGGTGCAGAGGGTGACGGTGAGTTGCCGTGGGCAATGGCAGGACTTTCAGTCTTATGTTATATCTGATGCATGTGTGACAATTTAAAATTAACACACCTGGGTTTTTGGGGGTGACAGAGGAATATTCTGTGGGGGTTCTCTTAGACTGGCGGTGGAACTGTTTAACTTACTCTGGTCCCTAAGGTAACAGAATTGGGATGGCAAAAATCACGAGACGTGGTAGAAAAAGGGCTCTCTCCAGGGGACGATTATATTGCATTATACAGAAAAACCCAGCGCCGAGACGCACAGGCAGTTACATAGCTGAAATTTACAGTTACATGAAGCCTGAGATAAAAGAAGAGAAACAGGAGAGTTGAACCAGGAATGAAAGGCAAATCAGCTAAAGGAGGGGGCTCAAAAACCCCCCAACCAAAGGTGAAGGCTACTACAATTAAAAACTATATGTCCCTTCAGGAGAAAAGCCCAGAGAATCGAATGCAGGAAAAACAATAAGAAGGAGTTAGAAAATTTGATGGAGACCATTCTAGACGGTCAGCTGGGTCCTGAGAAGGGAACCTGATTAACGAATCGATAAGTGTGGAAAGTGTCATGGAACAGAGTGTTACGAAACAACAAGGAGCTATGTCACAAATATCTACAAAAATCGAGATGGAGAAATGTTCGCGAAATTGGAGATGTGTCTGAAAAATGAGATGGGGGTATTATGCAGTGACTTGGGTCAGATACTAACGTTAGTAGAAGAGGTAGAGGAGAGAATGAAAGCACACACTCAATTAATTAATAAATTTGAAATGCATGTGGAGGAGATATGTAGAGAACAGAGAAAGCTTTCATTTAAATTAGAGGCCCAGGAGAACCGCGATATGAGAAAGAATCTAAGGATCCGGGGCCTACCTGAAGAAGAACAGGAAGAGGACCTAAAGGAGGAAATAAAGAGAGTGTGTAATTCAATAATGGGAAGACCAGTGACAGAAAACTTGCAAATTGAGAGAGCACACAAGATTAGACTGCCAGTAGGAATATCGGTGAACAGCCCCACAGATGTGATAATTCGATTCCATCATTACGCAGATAGAGAAAAACTAGAGGCATAATGTAGGCCATGAGGGTTTTAAGAGTTAGGTGAGTGGGAGGGGCAGGGGAAAGAGTGGGGGAGGGAGGCCAAGAGGTGGTGGGGGGGGGGGAAGTCCGTATCTCAAGTTCTCAGAAAGTCCATATCTTAAAATGTCTCTATCTGTCTTCCTGTGTTGGGAATCCTGGTAGGGTAGGGAAAGAATAGTTGAAATGAGCTTGATTAAGTTTATGACTTATAATGTGAAACGGTTAAACTCCCCAACAAAAAGACATAAGATACTTAAAGAAACTCACCAACACTCCATAAACGTAGTATTTCTTCAAGAGACACATATAACCCACAATACAAATGTTAAGTTATATATGAAGTACTTTGCAATATGGTACTACGCAGATTCTCCAGTTAAAAGGACTAAAGGGGTAGCAATTTGGTTTTCAAAAAATTTGAGTTTTATCCTGGAGGGAAGAATGGAGGACCCATAAGGCCGATTTCTATATCTGAGGGGAAAATTAAAAAGTTCCAAATATACATTAGTTAATATCTATTGCCCGAATAAAATCCATTAACATTCTTGGAG